TATATATATATATATGCATCAATATAATTTACTAAATAAAATGTATGTAAAAGACAGAACAGTGCAATTAAAATAATAATCTTTATTTGTATTCATATATGTAAATAATATGGTATGTTTCTCGTTTATTATATCGAAGAAATTATTTGTACAAAATTAAAATAACTAATATATTTGTTTTATTGTTATTTTTTCTTTCAGGAGAAAATATTTTGTCCAAGGCACGTAAGAAACTTGTTACGGGCCTGAGTAGGTCGATAATTCTGATCGTTTCTGTGATCCAGCAAGGCACATTTTATGACAGCGCCGCTGTCGCAATATCGAGGAACTAAAATAGTGCTCGGTGTCATGGCTCCACGTCAGTTTTATTCGTAGCATACGAACGAAATTTTTGGCGACTCTTTCCTCTTATACTAAAGCTCCCAGCTCATTTGTACAGGCATAGTATTGTTCTTCGAGGTTTTCTGTAGGCTGCTAGCTACTTATTTTAAACAGGTAAAATCTGAAACTCTTATATGCAGCACATATTGTGACGTGTCGACTACAGAAGCCGATAACAAAACTGTAAGTTTTAAATTTTCTTTCATTTTTCGTATTAAATTGTAGCTGGCAGCCTGTGTTGTTATCGATACTTTAATTGTGGAGAAGGACTTTTCAATCCATAAACACAATTAAGAGAAAAGAGTCTTCAAAAATTAAATGGTAAAACAGGACACTCCAGCATCCCCTTAAGTGGTCGGCACTTTTACTTTTTTTTGTTTAATACGGGCGGAAAAAAACTACATTTAATCCAAAGACGTAGGCTGCGTTCCACTTAACGCTTATAACGCTCGTGGAATCATTTCATCCTTGTCATTTATCAAATGTTAAACAAGGACAAACGACGTTCGCGACCGTTACGAGCGTTAAGTGAAACGCATCCATATAGAATAGACTGCGCGATCCGTGTCAAAATGGTTGATAGGGATGAGAGAAAGGGACCGTGGCAGAGGGCCATTTCTATCTCTTTCCATTCAATAGTGTAATGGGAGAGAGAATGAGAGGGAGATTAGCCGTCTCCCACGGTCCCTCTCTCTCATTATTGTCGACCACATTTGATACATTGATACGGATCGCGCAGCCCATTCTCTGTGGCTGCTTTCCTTTTAGGAGACACAGTCGACACAAGTCGACAGAAGTGTCGTTCTATCTTTGTCACTCTCTGAATATCAAGAAGGATAGAACGACATTTGTGTCGACTTGTGTCGATTTGTGTCATCAAATGGAAAGCAGTCTATGTCTTTAATTTAATCTAACTCCATCCGAAACGAATCTCAACCGTGCACAGCGTACACATTCTGTTTCAATTGAATCGTGCACATCATTATACTTTGTGCATTCCTGTGTACGATTATGTTAAGATGTGTTAAGCAATTGGAAAGCACCCTGTGTCTCCTAAAAGGAAAGCAGCCATTATTATAAGTTCAGATTCCCCAACCGGGTGCACCAAGGGGTCGATTCTGTATCTACAAACAAGGTGAAAATTACAAAAGTGAGCAAATTTACTAGGCGTTGACTAATGAAATTATCAGTATTCTAGTAAATTCGCTCACAAAAGTAATTTTCACCTCATTTCAAGATACAGAATCGATCCCCAAGACACTCAGAAAGCGTTCCTTTTGAGTGCTTTTATTGGGCACTTAGTGGAATGTTCAGATTCCTAGGCCGGTATTCATAGTCGAGTCTTATTTCAAGACTGTCTTAAGTAATGTCTTAAGACACTAATGCAGCCTTCTGATTGGTTCGAGACTTCTTGAGACCGTACTTAAGACGGTCTTGAACTTTGACTATAT